AGTCGGTAGGTTTGACAGAAGTCCAAGGGCGGGATAATTGGTGGAGTTCATGTCTGCGGGGGAAGGAGTAAATGAGCTCAGTTGGGTAAGGATGTTACCATCCATGATATCTCTTGCTTCTGCATAGGAGACTCCATTGGCTGCAGCATATTTGTGGATTGTTCGTTGTCTGGAGAGTTCTGGATAACTGTTGTGAGTGGAAATGTGCTTACCTTGGCAGTTTATTCATTTTGGATCTTTCTCTGGGCATGGCATTTGATCTCCATGATCTTCTTGCCCGCAGTGAGAGCATGTTTTCTTGTTGTTACAGAATTTGTGGGTATGCCCAAATCGAAGACAATTGGTGTAGCGTTTGACTGGTGAGGTGTAAGGATGGACTGGGAAACGGAGATTATAAAGAGTGACGTCGGGAGGGAGGATTTGTCGTTCGAATTTGAGGCGGATACCGTGAGGGCGTCAGTTCTCAGACGGTTAAGGGTAACTCGACCATCAGTAACCGATTCTTCATTTTTTTTCCGTCAAATATGAAGTTTGTGGTTTCCATAGTCATTTTTGATGTTTTTGGGACAAGAACATGTTTGATTTTTATTAAAAAACTTCGGAATTCGATAAATATTTGGTAAAACAAAACACAGCTCCCCGGATTCAGTTCTCGGATGCCGACAATTGACCCACTTCAGTTTTCGAACGACATGAATTCAGTTCTCGGACGAAGTGAATGAGAGGGGTTTGGGAGAAGGAAAAATATAGGAAATCAATTGTAAAAAATATTTTTGACAGATCTATTCTCATTCCAATAGCCATAAACTTATTACACACTGAATGATAACCATGAATAACCATTATTATTATGAATTAAGAGTAATTGAGCCAAGAGATTTCATCAATTTGTAAACGGAATTCTGCAACTGATCCTTAGTGACGGCAAACCCCCTATCAGCCATATAACAAATCCATTCTACCAGTTTCTTCTCATAAAATTCTCCCACAATACACTCAGGGCCAGGTCTGTTGATCGCAGCTTATGTCTTCTCATTTGCCTTGTCGTAGGTATAAGGTTGACATAGGGATATTATATACTTTGCTGACTGATCCCAAAGATCTTCCTGTTCTGATCGCCGTCAGAGCACTTTCTAACTGCTCAGGAGTATACTCTGGTGTTCTTGATTTTCTAGGTCGTGAAAGCGTCGCAGGCCTGACAGAGTCGAAGAATGGACGATTTTTTTTTGTTATTATTCTAGGGAATCATTATTTTTTTTTCAAAAACGTGAAAAGAATGTCTCCATGAGAATAAGAGCACTGACAGGGATGAACGCCTGTATGAATAAATTTAATGAAAAAATTTAGCGCTTTCTCTGAGATTTTTTTTTTCAGCAATTTTAGCAACAAAAACGAATAAAAATTTAGCAGAAAAAAATTCTAATATTTACACCTATGAATTTCATTAAACATCTCAAAATCTATTTGTTTTTTTCAAACCGAATATCTCTTGGACAAATGAAACGGTAACATTAGATAAAATTCTATATAAATGGTCCAAAAAATGAATAGAATTTTCCACTAGAATTCTAATGGAACTCCAAGAGAATTCTCATAGAATTCCACTAGAAATGCAATAGAATTTCTCGGAGAAAGTGCTAAGTTTTTCTGTCAAATTTCTTCATGCGTGCGATTGAGGTTAAGCACATGGATAAACACGTCCGAGAACTGAACCCACTCCGCCCTTGGTGGATTCAGATCTCGGACCCTCAATTTCTCCAATAATTTATTTATTTTTTTAAATTCTCCACATCTATTTTTATTCGAAAATTAACCTTCAACTCATAAAAACCGATTATAAACAATTTTTCACTTACATTTTGTTGTTAGATCCTTAAGAAGCATAGAGGGATTTCACCCTCCGCACACTACATAACACTCCACAGACCCCCCTACTGTGTGAACCCTCGAATAAATATAAGTGTAATAATTCTGTACACTTAGGGCAATATTAATAAATACTGCAATTTGGGGAGAATTTATTCTACTTTTGCAGGGAATAACAGAAAATGGCCGTCGAGCACTATGGATATGCAATTAATTTGAAATTCAATCGTAAGAATGCTCTGCGTCCGAGATCTGAATACCGTCCGAGAACTGACGTCCTCACGGTACTAAGAGATGGAGAGGATACCCCAGTTTTATCTGGATTGCGAATGAATCGTTGGCAGCGGGAGACCTCAAGAATATTGACACCAGAGTGAATATATTTTTTGATCTCCTCATCGGTGAAGTCAAGGGGAACATTTTTGATAATGCCTTGGCGAATAATTAAGAATTGAGGGATGTAGGCAATTATTTTGTAGAGTTTCAGTGAAGGGTGGTCCATTATCGTATGGGCTTGTTCACGAGTGGAGAAAGTGATACGAATAGATTGACCAATTTTCTTGGCAGTGGTTTGACTAGATAAGATATTCGCTTCTTCGAAGATTTTTGTGATGACTGGCTAATTTGACATCGGTGAGGTGTACAGCGTCAGGCTGATTGTAATCAGCCTGGAACATCACATCAAACCCTTTGTTAATAGCATGGAGGGGAAATCTGTTTTTTAATACTTCGGGGTGGATGTGAGGCGGAGGACGTCTCTTGGGGGAAGGATTTTTCGAGATATTGTTGGGTGTTTGTGTTTGTGGTGTAATTGGGATAGTTGATGGGGAATGAGTCGTATTTTGAGATTGGGTGTGAGCAGAAGACACATGAAACTGTTTAGGGGCCCTCCCCAAGGTTAGCTCCTCAGGGCCAGTTTTTGGTTAACTTAACCAGCGTTAAAACCTCGGTTAAAGTGAAGGTTAAGATCTCTGATTGGTTGAACTCGGTGGTGGCGGGGCTTTTAACCGTAGTTAACTTAACCAAAAAACTGGCCCTCAGACGAGTTATCACCAAGTCCCTCAGAATTTTTGCGCTTTCTAAGAAGTTCATTGGCATCGATTTCCATGGAGGATTGTTTTTTGGGATAGAGGGTCTGCTAGATTGGATGGAGAACTTAATGTAGGATAGGTTATGGTTTCATCTCGAGAAGCCATCGATTGAGCTTTTAGAATATCAACTGTCATAGAGGGGTCAATTGGAATGTTTTTTTCAATGCAATCTCGTCTATATTCATCCATAAGAGCTGTCTCGATTAGCTCTTGCTGGTTAGGTGAGGGAGGATAGCTCAAGGAAAGAGAATCAAGAATGGATCATTGTATACATCGAGGAGACCAGATTTGAATGGAGAGGTAGTTGGATCGAGCATGATCTCATCTTCGTAGTCAGAATAGGTATGTTGGGGATTCATTGTGAAATTATTAAATGAAGATAAAGGAGGATAGAAAGAGGGTAATGTGAGGGATGGTAGGAGAGCATGAGTTTGAGTGAAAATGGAGGAAGAGGGAAGGCAAGATGGCGACCTACGCTAGTGGGTACGCCAACAAAGGAAGGGTGGAATGCCTTGTTTTGCACGAAAATTTTAGATGCAACCAAGATACAGTTTTTAGCACTAAATTATTAGATAAAGCATGTGCAGTAAAGAAGAGAAAATTAAACACAAGAGAAAACGAAACAGAATAGATCACTATATAACAGATAAAGCACAGGGCAAGAAAAGACGTCTAGGCACTATGGTAGCTGTAAAGCCGGATTCGTCACTCCGGTGAGAGCTTCTGACCGCTACAGTTCGGCCTCCTTACCTGTATTCTTAATGGGGAATCCAAAGAGGATAGACCTGAGTAGAGGCCCGGATCGGGGGTTTGAGTGACGCCAAGTAAAGTTAGTTGGTATCCCACGGGAAAGGTGGCGTCCCGGTTGAATTGTCGGTGAATGTGAGTCGGGTGCATGGGTAATTCAGCAGTAACAGTCCCACTGTCACAGGGACAGGTTCGGAGGGGAACTTTTGTCCTCCTTGTACTCAATGTTTACTTTATGATAGATAGATAGTTTATGTCTTTGATGCTACTTTTTACAGTTTTACATCTACAGAAGCCATAGAAAAAAAATCCCACTTGCAACTCTTTATAAGATTATATCTTATTAAATAAATAACAATAATAATATTAGTAATACCAGTATCATTATTATAATATCACATGTTCTGTGAACTTTTGGCTTAAGATGATTGAATAATAATAATAATTGGTATCTTCGTTATCTTCAGTTCGTAGTTTGTTAAAGCTTCTTTTCTTCGTAGTTGCGCAGCACCTTCTCTATTTTAGCCAGTCCAATGCACAACTTTACATCTACTTCTTCTTTTAAAGCCTCCAGTAACTTCCTCCTCATACCTTGGAGGTTTGCCTTCCCTCTCCATGACTTCCACCATTCTCTATCTGTTATCTTCAGTCTTCTCATCACCTTCTCGCAGCTGACTACGTGTTCCAATGATTCCTCTGTATCATTGCATGCCCTACATTTGGCCTCCATGAATCCTCCTTTCCCCTCCCTCACTGCGTTGCCACATCTCCATCTTGCCCATGACTCCTTCTGCCAATCCTTTAATTTCTTCCTGTGCCAGTACTTTTCTAGCTCTATATTATTCTTAATTTCTGAGTAATATGGAGAGTAGCTCGATCTATCTGCCTTCTCCCAATCATTTTGTATCTCCTGGTCCGTTGCAGTCTTTTCCAGCTCCCTGAGTTTCTGTTCTACTTCACCCAGTTGTCTTCCTTCATCCAGCATCTCTACTAACTCGCCATCTCCAACTCTCTCTAGTGCCTCTTTCAGTGTCTTCCCCCATCGGGTTGGGTTTTCATTCCTTATATTCCTTAGTTCCTCTTTCAAACATTTCCTCGGCCATCTACTTTCACCCATCAGGCATCACTTCATCAGGAAATCTCCAGCTCTTCTCCTCGCTTCTATTTCGATGCTTCTTTTCTTCGCTTCTAGTCTCCATATGTATCCGGGTGTATTTTTTGCCAGTCCCATGCTGGATTTCACGTATTTACTCTGTACTCTTTCTATCACTTCTCTCTTTTCCCAGCCCCATAATTCTAGAGCCTCCTCTTCAGGTTTGTTACTCCAGCCCTTCTCGTCTCTCCCCACACTTTATTAACTAGTTGCTGTGTTTTGCCAGCCGCTTTCTCTGTGTTTTGTGTATCTGTTCGCTGAGGTGAACCAGAAACCAAGGTATTTAAATTCGTTGACGACTTCAATTTCTCCATTTTTGTATGTCCATTTCTCTTTTTTCCGTTTTCCACCGTTTCTGAAAACCATAATCTTCGTTTTTTCTACACTTACTTGCATTAGATTTGAGTCCGACCATTTCTCAAGATTGTTCCACATTTTCTGTAACTCATTCCCATTTTCTGCGATCAGTGCTGCATCGTCCGCATAAAAAAGTGCAAAGATCTTCGTATTCGAGCCTGGGCCTATTCCTGTGCCTCCATCGCCTCTTCTTCTTAGTCCTGGTTCCAAGTCGTTCAGGTAGATGTTGAAGAGGATAGGGCTGAGTGGGCAGCCCTGTCTCACTCCTTTGGTTGTAGTGAAAGTCTCTGTTTTTTCTTCGCCTGCCAGCACTTCATTTTTTGTACATCTGTAGATTTCTTTAATCATTTCCATGAACCTTCCGTCAATTCCCATAGATTCCATCTTCTTCCAAAACCTCTCTCTGTCCACCTTGTCGAACGCAGCCTTAAAATCAATAAATGCTACATATAGCTTGCCTCCTTTCTGTTTTAGCTTATTGCCTACTAATGTATTTAGTACAAATACTTGTTCCATTGTCCCTCTAGCTCTCCCGAATCCTGCTTGCGCTTCTGTCAATTTTTCTTCCTGCTCTAGCCAAGTGCTCAGTCTGCTTGCCATAACTGAAGCTAGGATTTTGTATCAAATCGCCAACAAGGATATCCCTCTGTAATTACCCGCCAAGTTCTCGTCTCATTTCATTTTGTATATTGGGAATATTGTTGCCATTCTCCATCACTCTATCAATCTTCTTTTTTGCCATATGTCTTTGATTAACTGAATTAACTCTAGTCTTCCCTCTTTAGGCATCCCTGTCAGGAACTCTGCTGCTATCTCGTTTTCCCCTGCTGCTTTGCCTTTCTTCAAATGTCTCAACGCCGCTACGATTTCACTGTGTTAGTAGACTGTTTAGGCCTCTTTCTCCCTCCTCTTCTATTACTTCTGCCTCCTCTTCCTCTGTGGTGCTCTGTGTCGCTTCTGTGTCTCTTGGTCTGGTTGTGGCGTTTGATGACCCTTCCTTCTGTTCATTCTCTTCTCTACCCTCCTCCCCTCCATCCATTTCTCCTTGCAGGAGTGTCCGGAAGTGAAGAAGCATTCTTTCCTTCCCAATTTTACCGGCAAGATTTTCTTTTTTCTTTTTCCTGTACCAGTTCATTGCTTTCCACCATTCTGTGAGGTTTTTACTTGTTCCAACCTCTGCTTGTTTTTCCTTTAGCCAGTCTTTGATTAGTCTGTCCCTTAGGGTTGCCAGTTCTCTTTTACATGTTATATAAGCTCGTTTATTTTGCCAGTCTCGTTTTTCCCTGAATCTGTGTAACTGTTTAAATAATTTTCTTCTCATGTTTCTGTATTCACCATTTTTGTCCCAAGTTTCTTCTTTCCAGCCTGGAGGTCTACTTCCGGTGGTCATTCCCACTTTCCTTGCCGTTTCTTCAATTATATCGACGATGTGTGCCCATCTCTCTTCTGATGTTGGTTCTATCAATTCTTCCTTGCTCTTCCATTTGTCTTCCCATTCTTTTCGGAAATCTTCCGCTTTTTTCTCCTTCCATTTCAGCCTCTTCTGTTTTTTGCCTTTTTTCACAATTTTCTTTAATCTCTCCTTGGTCTCCCATTTCACCCTATAGAAAATGGGTAAATGGTCTGAGCCCTCTTGAGTTGCTACTCTCATCCCTTTGAACCATTCCGGTGTTAATCCCTGCTCCTCTGACTTGGCTATTACATAGTCAAGTACACTGCCTAGTCCTTCTCCTTCTGCTATCGCGGCGATCTTGTCCTCCTCGTCTCCGTTAATCTGCCATTCATGATCAACATTGCTCGCGTTTCACACCATTTTAGGAGTATTGGTCCCTCAGGTTCTCTCAGCTTCTCATCCTCCGAATTTCTGTGGCGGTATGTGTCCTCTATTGGCTCTAATCCGCAATCGGCGACTCCTTGTTCTCGACCAATCCGTGCGTTGAGGTCCCCCAGGTCTTCCAGGTCATCAAGCTCTTTGTCAGCTTGCTTCAGGAACTTTTTTAGATTTAGATGATGGTTATTATATCCAGATATGATTGTGTAGTTGTCTTCTGGTATTCTTCTATTCTCTAATTGTAATTGTAGCCCGTACTCCCATTCTTTCAACTTCCAGTTGCCTTCTATGCTCTTCTTTATGCCTATAATATGTCCTGCTAACGCTCTGCCTCTGGTGTGTGCTCTTGTAGCTATCTTTCCTTTCCAGTCGTAGTTTTTATCCAAACTCTCGATAGCCTTTTTCATCTCTTTCTCTTCTAGAAAAGTCTCCTGGAACGACACTATATCCGCGTCCTGCTATAGCCTCACATTCTTCTTTATGTTACTTAAGCCTCGTGTGTTCCACGAGCTCATTCGTTTCGTAGCCTCCCCCTTCCCCTGCCTCGAAACGGCTGTGGAGGTTGTTGCTCTACCTCTACCTCATATTCTTCCTGTTCTTCGTCTTCCATCTTTTCTTGGACAAGGGTTCTTTCTTCCTCATCCCAAATAAGCCATAAGCCAGGTACCATCAACACTAACCTTCTGATAACCAATACGCACCTTTCGTTTCAATAGCCTCCAGTTTTCTGCCTCTCTTCTTATCCACGCCTGAACTTCTTTCTGTCTGTCTGTGAAATCATCAGTGATCCACACTCCCCAGCCAAGTCCTCTTAGCGTTTTCTTTGCTTTCATGATAGCTACTTTTGAGTTCCACTCTTGCACTACTGCCTTCCAAGTTGCTGGGTCGACTCTGTCTAGTTTTTCTAGCTTTCATCTCCAATGTTCCTTCTAGCCATCCTTCTAGCTCCTCTTTCTTCTTCCTTTCGATGAGGGTCAGTCCTTCGATGATTATTGTCTTCTTCCTTTTCGATCTTTCTGCCTTCTCTTCCTCCCACTCTTCTGCTCTAAGTTTTCTGGGTGTTGGGTTGGGTGGGACTGCCATTTTGTCTTCGTTCTGTGGATTCAGGTTTCCTCCGCCTGCCTCAACGGACCCCGACCCTCCTGACGCCAAGGCGTTATGTGCCAGGGTCACCGTTTGAGCTGGCGGGTCCACCTTGGGATTCATCTGTGCCGCCTCCTGTTCTCCTTCAATATTAACATTTCCTGGTATCTCTCGTACCTTTTGAGACTTCTTTTGCCCCTCTGGGTCATCTGATGTCCCTTCTGCTGTCTTTTTCTCATCATTTGTTGGCTTAACTGTCCTCACCACTGGGGTGTTAGTAATGCATACGTAGCCAAGTGGTACATTTCTATCAGCATGTTCTTGTCTTATCATTTCACTGAGTTTCAGTCATCCAGTAGTTCTTGCTTGTTATCAAGTTTTTTCTGGAAGTTGATATTCTCCTGCTGTAGATTTTTCATCTGTCGCTTCAAGGTTTTCAGTTCTTCCTCTTTCAATACTAGCTCGCCTCTCGCCCTCTTGCAACTGTCACATCCATTTCCTTTTCCGTCACTCTCTACATCTTTTCTCTCAAATCTCCCACTTTTGATCAGATGTTCCAGATCTGCCATCCTACTTGCCCATGCTTCCTCGTGTTTCTTGGAATTGCGTGCCTCCCAGTCTTCTAGTGCCCTATTTACTTCTCGTGCCACTTCTTGTGTTAACTTTCGTGAAAAAAAATCAAAGTCAGAGTCATTTTCCTGTATCGACTCCTCCTCTTCCTCGGGGTCCTCCTCGAGGTCCGAGGGATCGTCTTTTGATTTCATCTCTCCCATCAGGTCTATGAAAGAGTTGTTGGGAGGTGTGGGTGATGTCACTGGGGTTAGGTTTTGTCCTGTGTTCTTAATTGTAGTTGGGGTTAGGGTTAGGGGGCTTAGAGGGTTGGTTCCCTCAGGTGTTGTAGATGTCCTCTCCAATCTAAGACTCAGTGGGGTTTTATTCGGTGGTGTTCTCTTAAGTCCTCCTTTCCCCCCTCGTACATAATTAAAGTCAAAGTCTGTCTTTTCATTCCTGTCTGTTAGTTGTGTCTCAACCTCTTTCATCCTCCTGTCCTCTTCCTCTGATTGTTCCTCCAGGACTTTGTGTGTTCTGGTCCTGGTCCTGCTTTTTCTCTCCTGCCATGCCACCCCAGTATGTAGTACAGGCAATCTAGCATTGCAAATGCAAATTAGTCGCGCTTCAATGAAATTTATACCAAACGTCCAGAATATTGTCCTGAACAACATATCAAAATGGAGAGGGTCTAGGTGTTTCAATTATATTTTTAATTATTAAAAAACCATTGAAAACTTGGGGGTTAACGCCAAGAACACGAATAACTTTCATTCAGAATATCCAATTGAGAATATAAAAATATCAGTTTGTTGAGCAAGAAAAGCTCAACAAATCATAAGCGAGAACCTATCCCCTAGGAGTTATCGTTTTTTTAAAATTAATTCATAACTACGTACTATTTAAAATTGCCTAAAACTCTCAGCTGTTAGCGCAAGGCCCACCCCCTGCTGCGCATGGAACCCACTCACATCGGCGCTATGCGCAGAACATTCAAAGGATTAAAAGAAGTTGAAAAAATCCAATAAATTATAGTATATTTACACTTTTTCAATTCATAACTCCTCCAAAGAATATCATCGTAATTACATTAATATACATTAATATATATAGAATATGTCTCAATAAATTTTTTCAAACGTTCAGAATCGAGATAATTATCAAAATTTATTATAGATTGAAAGGGAAGGGCAACATCTTAATGACAGAATTCTATAACAGAATTTGTATATTACAGAAAGTATATTACATCCCAGAGAAAAACAAATCCTAAAATTAATAGATAAAATGTATCAGAAAAATTATAAATTTGACCAAGAAATATCTACAAATCAGGAAAAAGGGGATTATTTTCAGAATTTTTACTAAATGAATTATCTAATATGATGGTAAAGTTTATCATTCTGCGGAGGCTAAATTCAACCGCAATTAATCCATTAATTTTAGAATTTTTTTCTCTGTCGTAATTTAATTATTTACAACTTACAATTTTAATTATTACTACACGATTGTTTCATAATTTAATATAGAATTATAAGCATGCTGACCTAAATCATATAGAGATAAAAATAATTGATAAAATCAGAAAATTGAAATTTTTAGAAAAAAAAAAGTTTTTTAATGCTTCGTTATCCACAAAAAGCATCAATCGCAGGGCTTACATTCGGAAGCACAATTGAAGTGGAGTGTACATCTACTGTCGCCGGGTTAGGGTTGGAAATTCCTCTCTGTAAACGAAATAAAATTTTCATTAGGTTATTTGTTATATATAGGTTGGAAAAATAATCAATAATTAAGACACTCTACCCTTTGACTAGACCATACGTAGTTTTTTACTAGTTGATGGTCCAGGGTCACTGCAAGCATCTTCTCCTTCATCGACTTGCACCAGGTCCTCTCCGCCTTCGGGAAACTGAGTGAATGGGGGGAATTCTTCGTCAGTATCCCCACAGGGTTCCATCATCTCCATTTGCTCCACATGTTCATTGATTAGGGAGTCAAACTGGTTGAGTAAGACTTCCGCTGAATCGCTGAAACTCTCAGGTGTGTCGGAAAAGATGTCGATTGCTCTTGAATTGGAACAAGAATTTCCACGGCACCCCGAACAGATTGTGGAACATTTGAGGCCCGCTCTTCTACATCCACACCTATTGGAACAGTTCCCTCTGCATGTGCAATAGATCATTTTGAGAATGTCTTCTGGAGCTGGTAATTCCTTGGTCATAATGGGGAAGTACACTTGCTCCTTCAATTCCCAACCCCAATCTATTGCACGCAATTGATTATTCCCAAGCCATTTCTGGACTTGGCGATAAACACGCCACGAAAGTTCTTCGGTTGAAGCACTTGTAGGTGGAAGCTGTCCTAGTCGTATTTTAGTTTTGAGACGTGCCTCAGAACTCACAAAACGTTCGTAACGGTAAGTGTTAATGGATGTCTTGTCCTCTGAAGCACCATAAATTGCCAGCATCAAGCATTCACCTGCTTGCTTGATATTACCCCTAGTTGAGTTCGGATTATTGAAGACCGCTACACAATCGAGGAGATAACGCTTTTTCGTCAATAGGTTTAAAAATGACTTTTTTCCCCGATGGAAGATGGAGCTGGTTGTGTCACAGCCTGTGAAAGCGTGGCTGACAAGTATGGTGTCTTTCAGGTGCTGATTATCCTTTGTGGAGAATATTTTACGGGCTCCTCGTTTATTTCCCTCTTCAATGAAATAAATTTCTCGTTCGAGAGGAACCAGGGCAATCAGCAGCACCAGGAGATCCCCGTCCTGACCAACCACTGCAACTTTGTTATGATCATGGAGGCACTCAACGGCAGTCACTGCAATTAATCGATTAGCATCTTCAGATCCCTGTTGCACAGCTATTCCCGCACTTAAAAATTTGCTTTTGAGGAAGTCGATGAGTCTATCCTTGTTTTTATCATTTGATAAAAATTTAGATTGACTCATGGTGATGGTCATATCCTCATCGAAAATGACTTGACTCCCTGTGCCGGTCCTCGAACGCCTGAATCTTTCGTAAGATTTTATCCCCACGTCGGTTTCTTTATAGCCATCAAAGACAACTATCGCATTCGAGCCGTAATGGTTTTTGGTATAATTTTCATATAATGCGAGAATTTGTCCATAAGTGGCTCCAATTGGCCAGACCACCTTGTGCAACAGGAATCCGCCGTCGATGATGATCTTCTACTGCGTTTCATCGATGCCATTCTCGGTTTGGCACTTGAAAGCAGTGAAGAGATCTGCTTTGTTGGATTTTCTCATGCACCGTGATCATCAAACAGCGCAGGAAGAAATGTAGCTAGCTCGTGATTCAGAGATCGTGTTGCCAACTGGTTTTCGTCTGTTATAACCGCTGCAATCCGTTGGAATAACAAAGTAGTATTAACAGCTACAACTTCATTGTCAATTACGATAGACAGTTTTCTGATTCAATCGCAAGCATTCCCTGGCAGCCGAGTGCAAAACGGTGTTAATTGTTGTCGAATCTGATGGCGGCAAATTTACGAACGGTAAACAGAAAATCTGTGATACATCATACCGGTGATGACTGCTAATTATCTCCATGTACCCTCTCCAGCTGGGCATGTTGGCAATATTGAGGCATTTCGCAAGAATATGGAGAGAATATGCTGTTGGAAATTGTTCGCGTTTACCGAGATCCAGCTGGGGTACATCTAGGAACGTAATGGATTTCAATCCTAATTGATCACCATTTAACCGATTACGATAGACTACTGGAACGTTGATCTTTGATGCTAGTTCTTCAGCTCTTGGAATCCGAGTTAACTTCGGGATTTCTCCTTGATGTGTTACTGGGGATTTTGGCGTCACGCAACAAATACCCCCATGCTATGAGAAGTATTGAAACCATCAACGGTGCATACATTATGATCGGCATTATCGAACACAAATTGTATGAATGCATTTTCATCGATTTTTTTTCCGTGTTCATTACGGCAGACGCCTCGTAGAGATTGATATTCGTATATGAAGCGCAGAAGCCGAGGCTGCTCAAAACGTCAATGATTAGACGTGAACCGAATTTTCTTGTTAAAAAAATTCCAGTGGCTAATTAGATAGACGAAATGAATGATCTTGGACGTACGGCTGATATTATGGAATGAGCGATACTATCTCGTTTTGTTGTCAATTTCTCGTCTCTATTTGTCTTCCCCTTCAGTAGAACGTTGTTGAGGAAAATATGCAGACTCTCCAGAATGTCCTCCACAATACTACCTAGAAGATCTTGAGTAGCTACCTAGTAGTACCTAGTAGATCCTGAGGATAGATTGATGTTTCGTAAAATTTGCTTCTGATATCTTCTCTTATGATATCAGCTGCAGCAGAAACTATCCGCAATCACTCTTCAGCCTCAGTAGCAGCTTTTTTCTCGTACCAGGAATTTATAAGAATTTTATACCCTGTACCCCGAAAGCATACAATGGTGGGCTTACCTTTACTTTCCAACATGATTACATCTGTGTTGTACTTATTGCGTAGTTTCTGCTTGAATGTCGCTGCAGTGAACGAAAATCCTTCCATCTTCTCCATCAGTTCGTTGAGAGAGAATTGACAATCATCACTCTCCTCCATGTATCGACACACGTTCTCAAACGCCATTTCCACCTCTGCTACCTCCGGTCTTCCAATATCATGGGTTTCTCTGATGCTCGTGAACTTATGATAACATGACCTATGATAACGAGCCTAAACCTGCATTAAAGATGTCGACTCCAATCTTCGTTGAACAGCCTGACTCCAGTAATCT